ACCGGCAATTCGGAAGAGGAATACGAAAAGTTGATGCGAGTGGCGGCACCCACGTCTAAGGACGATGGGCAGACGTACGGCACCCACGTCTAAGGACGATGGGCAGACGTAGTGATGACCTTGAAATTCGGTGTAACGTCTATTTGTATTTCGGAGCTGGCGTTGGCGGCAGGGATACCTGAGTTAAATCAATACCAATTACTTTTTTTGATAAGCAAATTACTTGCTGCTTTTGAGTGATGACTGGTCGCCAGTGAAGTGTGAACAAAGATCCCAACAGGCTGGAGTACTTTGACAGCCATCTTTCCAAGTGCCGACTGAAGGATTCGAATAAGCCGAATCCTTCAGAGAGCGCCTCCTTGCCTAGAAGGGCGCGAGTCTGAATGGGTGTGAAGAGAAGGTGCTGACAAGAGAATATACTGAGACCAGTGCTGACACTCTAAAGCTACTTTCAATTGCGGCAAGAAGCCGGCTCGTCGGCCGTTGACATCTCTGACATCTGATAGAAGCCAGTAAAGTCGCTCTACTCACTCAAAGATGATCATCATGTATTAGCGATATGAATCAACTCTGATAGGTCGACATTGGATACCAGGCACGTCTGAGGGTCTCTCGGGCAACCACGTAGCGGCTATTTCCGCCGTCTGCCGTAGGCACCGATGCTCGATTATCAGCTTGAAGGGTTGAACACAGTGCTCAACGAGAGAATGACGGCCCGAATTGCGTTCTGCCTTCCGATGGATCGATACTTTGAGCGGCAAGACAACGTTGCTGGCTTTGAAGAATCTGCCCATCTGAATGTAGCAGTACGACAACGGATAAATGAACACCGGCTGTGGCTCAAGACCTTGAACTCCACGCGCACTTGACGACTCCTTTTGTTCAGGGTTATACATGACATAGAATGCCTCCGCAGACCCTGGCTGGTCTGGGTGACACTGACAAGACGAGAGATGGGCTGCGTGCGCCAGACCCGCATCGCCGAGCTGACGTTGGCCAAACAGGTTTCTAGAAGCAGCAACAGTTATCGTCGATGCCCATTGTGTTTCCTCAAGGTACCTCAGATAGGGATAGTGTGACGGCTGGAAAGAGAAGTTTCCGGGGATTTCACCTGTTGTGAAACGATTCAACGATAATGCTGATTCGACCACAAGCAAGATCCCGCGCAGCACAGCATGTTGGTGATGTTTTATTTAACGTCATTTTATAAATATCGCGTGTTTCCAGTGGTGGATTTGTTGAAGAAGGCGTTCCTAACGGACGTAAGAACATTTATCTCTGGACGAGGTACATCGTAACGTACCATTTCCAGTGCCTCTCGCGTCTTGCGACTATGATGCGTACGACAGCTGTAGGAACTGAGCGGAACAGATTGGAGGGTGTTGGTCACTTAGCTGTGCTGGATAAGCGTCGCTCTGGCACTCGTTTCTGTCGATCGGGCCTTGCAGCATGCCATCGAATTGCGACGGCGCACAACTGGGCGAGTGACGAGGCCACCAACGTCGTTGTAAGTCGTTACGGCGCATTGGCCAGACGCTGATGGGTTGACCCCTGCAGCAGCGGCGGTCTGATGTACCTATCTAGTAAGTCTGCAATCGCGTGGGCAGTGAACTCAGCCCTACCCAAGAGTTGAAAGGCTGACTCGTGGATTGCCAGATGGTATTGGACAATGACGGGAGACTCGGCCCTGGCATATGTTTCATCGCACGATTGCTGACCGTTGATGTCTTGTCGATCTACCAATGACGAGGCAGACGAGGCACGCAGCAAAACGGGGCTGGAGATGACCGAGACGAATGATGTAACTTGACCGCAAAGCTGGATGTAAGATGAAAGAGGCACAGTTCAGCCTGACGGTTGCCTTGGGGTCTCGGGAGCGATCTGATTGGAAAGATTGGTCTGTCGTGATGTATTCCGTATATCTGACGAGACTCGGAAGGCACCGATGGGCTCTGAGTGGGGCCCGCCGAGTCGGGATGGCATTAGCGGGGCAGTAGCGGATGGCGCAGCGACCACCCTCCCGCAGGGGCCGGACAAGGATCCACTGCGGGCCCTTGCCGCAGGCCCGCGTTGTTGGTGCGAGCTTACGGGCTACCAAATTACGCAGTCAGTTACCGCGAACTATTTGTGACATTGATCATGGATTAGAACACAGTCAGACGAGACATGTGGGCAGAGATTGTGGTATCAGGAGCCTCGGACTTCGTCACCCACTCAATACTCCGTACAGAGGCCGCAATTCCGGTCAGTGTAATTTGATGTTGGAACCAGGTTCACCACCCTTCTCCCTGTCACCTGGAATTGCATGCCAATTCCATGCGTTCGGTCAGTGGCCGGCGCATGTCAAGCATCAATCATTGTTTTACGTTCTCAATCACATGAATGAAGTAGACGAGCTTCCCTACTGACTACATGGCCGACCCGAGAAAAAGTTGCATATAGTCAATGTCAGTCTTGCCTATTCTCATGCTTCGCCTCATAAAATGCTTCTCGGCGGCGCATGTGCTTCTACATCGTCATCGCCTATTATGGTAGTCTGGTTCGACAAACTTTTGCAGAAGCTACAGAAGAAGACGGAAGGGACAATACCTCATGTTATCAAGGCCAAGGCTTGATAGCATGAAATCCTTGCCCTATCGTGAATAATGTCCAGCCGAGGCCCGTGCCTCAGTCGTGTCGAACTCATCTTGCACCAACACATCGGGGTAGGGATACGGCTTAGTCTCGTAAGGTGATCCTGTCGCACAAGACTCTGGCAGCTCTCTGTTTCAATGGCTATCTCATTCTTTCGGACTGAGACCAGGCTAGTCAAGTCCACCACTCGATTGTCTCAGCTTTCATGTGGGGGACGGGCAGCTCGGGAGCCGATTTTGCTTCAATCCAGACTTGCACTGGCCCAATTGAGAACATCTGGATTGCCTGGGTCTATTGTCGTCTATCAAACTTCCCCATTTCAATCATGTCTTGAAGAGGAATTGAGCCGCAAAGCGTGCAACATCAACGATTGCGGTTGTCTTGTTTGAAAAGGGCCTGAAGAATTCTGTGACCGGGGTTTCGATGTCGATTGTGGCTGCCTGGGGTCAGTCAAGGGTAAGGTCCAATTCATGGTGGCATTTTCCTGTTGCTGAATTCATCCTCAACCCCAGGATGCTTTAGGCAATCACTGATTGTTCGGGAAGGGTGGTCTGGAAAAAAGATACTTGACGCACGTGCCAAGCGGAAGTTCCTTTCGGCTGAGCCCTGGAGTGGTTGCCAGTTGAAGATAAGCGGGGCAAGGGTGCAAGAGGACGGGACTCACTCAGGTCGAAGTCCAAACGGGCAACCACTCCGTCGGGTGGAGAAATCTACGGCACGGTACGTATTCCTTCTTCCTTCCCACTGGGAACGGCCGCCTGGCTAAAGCCGAAGGGGAGACAACTTTCGACCAGTTTCATTGGCCCGTTTGCGCACACGCAAAGAGCGACCCAAGAGACATGTCTTTACCGGCCACTCAGGATCCATCTTTCCGCTAGTCTGGGCCTGGAAAAAAGGTACCTAGTGAAGTCGTCTTTTTAGAGTGCGTACGTATATGTATCTTTTCTTCACTTTTTCCTCCTGTCCACCGAGGTAAGGTAGGTACTGCTCGTAGCACTCAGCTCGCCCAATCCAACCCCATCAACGGCACCAATGGCACCACCCAATACAATGTACATCATGAGGTAGCTTCTTTCTTTTCTGGTCATGACAGACTCGGTCCGGCCAATAGACTCATGCCGTCTCGCATCTTCTGCAATAGTTGCTGCACACTAAGAAGTGATTGTCACAGCCCAACTCTCCATCAGCCCTCCTCCTTTGCACAGTACAATCCTGCTCCGATTACTATCCACACGACGCTACTCTTATTTTCGGCAACGCCTTCTGTACATCTGCAGCTCTGCATTCTATTGCGCCGGCGCAACCGCCCACTCACACCTCGAGAAACAGGGCGCTGAACCTCAGTCTCACCCTCACTCCATCCCCCGTCTTCTTGTCCCCGGCTTCAGGGCCTCAGCTCGTGCCGAGACTGCGGTCTTCTCTGTTGCTTTCCCTCATTGTCTGCCTTTTTGCCTACCCATAGCCCAATAAACCCGGGCCCGGATTTCAGTCTCAGGCCCCGGCTCTCCAGCCAGCCTCACTAGACCGGTTCGCTCCAACTTTAGTGCAAGAATGAATGAATTCGGATTCGTGCTCTAGGCCCGAGACACAAGATAGCAGAGCTATCAAACTATGTTGGCCCTGGCTTGCCTCGATCTGCTAATTCCGACCTCAGATTGTAGTTACCGTAGTTCACATGCTGCCAATGCATTCTCTAAGCTGTGCGTGTTGGTCTGGCTTCAGCTCGAGATCAACAGTCACCTCTTCTTCTCGCGCAGTATGCCCATCACACTTGCAATCGATGACGGATCCGGCACTGGTCCTTGCCGGCTCGACGAGCTCGTTCGTTCGTAGCGCACCCAAGGCACCTAGTGACTTAGTATCCCCATGTGCGTGTCGGCAAGGATGTTCCCAGGACCCCGGTCATCCATGGTGGTGTTCCCTCCTGGTCTGACTAGGGTGGGTTCTCTGTTTAGGTATCTACATAGACTAGTGTGGGATTTCTTACTAGGAATAGTTCGCAGCAGCGCATCTCCCTCTGCTTGGCCCGCCGTGGATCCCCCAATGAAGCATTCTTACATCTTCTCTGTAAAGCCCATTTCTCTCTTCCGCCCTTCATTCTGCGCTCATCATCCGCATTCATCTTCTCAGCCTTGAAGCGTGTATCTACTTTTCTGTTCTGTTGCTATATAGAGTCTGGCGGAACCCCTCTCATCCTCAGCTCATAACCACTCACCAACCATATTAACCCAGTATCTTGGCAGCATTTCCTAATCAGCAGAGCCTTTCTCAGGAGTCTCACACTTGCTCGTCAACTTTGCTTTTGAGTATTATATACCCTGGCCTTATCCGCGCTTGGATATTCCAGCCCTAGAGGCGCCAAACACATGGCTCCAATGGCTACTACAGAGGGCCTCAAGAACGGCACCGAATCCGGTCCCAGCCATATTAATGTGTCCAAAGCCAATGGATACCACTTGGACAGCAACGGCACCAATGGTCACAACGGTCACAACGGCTCGACACCCAGATATGCCGGCTTCTCGCCTGCTTCAACAGACTCACGCCCGCAGACAGCGTCCTCAAAATCTTATCAAGAGGAGCCCCCCTCCAATGGTATCAGATACAGCAAATCTCACAGGATCCCGACCTTCGGAATTCACGAAGAAGACAACGCCCCTAGATCAAGGAGCTACGCCAACATCCGCACATATGCCGACGATGCCCGAAGGCAATATCCTCGCATATCAAAGCCGGTTGAGCTGATGCGCAGCAGCTATGATGTCGTTGTCATTGGTTCAGGGTACGGTGGTGCTGTCGCCGCATCTCGCCTCGCCCGTTGCCAAGATGCCAACGGCAAGCGTCAGTCTGTATGTGTACTGGAGCGAGGAAAAGAGAAGTGGCCTGGTGAATATCCTACTGGCGTTCTCGATGCCTTTGACGAGCTTCACGTTTCCGGCGAGTTTGCCCCTGGTTGGCTCCCCAGCACAACTGTGGAAAAGGGTGACCCGACTGGCATGTACCACTTGATCTTCGGGAAGGGGCTGAACGCCGTCGTTGGCAATGGTAACTACATGCTTTCCTGTTATGTTGAAAATCATCTGCTGACTGATGACAGGCCTGGGTGGCACGAGTTTGATGAACGCCAACGTTTTTCTAGAAGCCAACGAGGCCACCTTGTCTATGCCTATCTGGCCCAAGTCCATCAGGGAGAACCCCAAATGTCTGGAGAAGTGTAAGCCATTCGCCCCATAGGATTTTGTACGAATCTTTGGAGACATTACTGACACGTAGTCACTCAGTTTACCAAAGAGCTCGGGATGTTCTTGAGCCCACTCAATACCCAGATGACTGGCCCGAACTTCCCAAAGTCAATCTCTTCAAAAAGCAGGCTGCCGCTCTTGGCATGTCCGACAAGTTCAAAATGGTCCCTCAGACAACTAGATTCCGCAATGGTCCCAACAGTACTGGTGTGGAGATGTCTCCATCAGCCTTGACCGGCCAGGACTGCACTGGTGTCAATGATGGCTCCAAATCGACTACATTGGTGACTTACCTGGCTGATGCCTGGAACTGGGGCGCAGAAATGTTCTGCGAGAGCGAGGTTCGTTTCATCAAGAAGGCCGACCCGCGCATTGGAGGGTACCTCATTTTCTTCGCCTGGCATGGCCGGAACCGAGGTCACTTCAAGGCCAATCTCCACGGAGACTTGATGTGGGTGCATGCGAAGGAGTGCGTGTTCCTCGGTGCCGGTGCTATTGGTAGCACTGAGATCCTTCTCCGTAGCAAGGAGATGGGACTGCCCCTGAGTCCCCGCGTCGGCGAAAACATGAGCGGCAATGGCGACATGCTAGCCTTTGGGTAAGTTTGGACCTTTCTATTCTACTCCGAGACGTACGCGACTGACCGCGATCTTAGATATAACATGGACGAGGAGGCGAACGCGATCGGGAAGCCCTTCCCCAACCCGTATAACCCTATCGGACCTACCATCAACTCCGTTATTGATGACCGCGAAGGGCACGAGAACCCTCTTGATGGATATGTCATCCAAGAAGGAGCTATCCCTCGTTCTTTGACACCGTTCCTTCAGACATTATTGGAGATGATGCCTGGCAGCATTGAAGCCACTGGAGAACCGTTCCAGGAGAAGGTCCGGTCTGCCTTTGCTCGGTACTCGAGCCATCTATTCGGCGCGTATCGCCAGGGCGGATCAATGGATAACACTCAGGTCTACCTGGTTATGTCCCATGACAGCAGTCAGGCCATGCTTACACTCAAGGATGACAAGCCAGTCCTTGAGTTCCTCGGGGTTGGTCGTAGCGATCACGTCCGCAAACTCAATGATCTGCTAGCAAAGGCTACGCAGGCCATGGGTGGAACCTTTGTCAAGAACCCTTTCGATGCCTTGATGGGAGGTCAGCAAGTGACCGTTCATCCTATCGGGTAAGTTTGAAATTCGTCCATTTGTGAACTGTTCTAACATGACTCACAGTGGAGCTTGCATGGCCCGCGATGATACTGGCGCCACCGGTGTCACCAACGATGTTGGTGAGGTATTCGCCGGAGACGACGACGAGACACACCCTGGGTTTATCATCACTGATGCCTCCGTCATTCCCGGTGCCATTGGTGTCAACCCCTTTGCTACTATTACAGCCCTGGCCGAGCGGTCCGTCGACGCTCACATCCACAGGAGAAACCTCAAGATTCACCCCAACGAGAACGGCATCTTGGACCTATTCGGGGAGCCTCAGTTTGCCCCCAAAGAATCCCATGAGACGGCAGAGACTGAAGTCGAGATCAAGAGAATTGATGAAGCAAGCTCACTCATTCGCCATGCCGACCAGTCCAAGGCTGGAGGATTCGGCTTCACCGAAGTCATGTCTGGTTTCGTTCATCGCGACGATGGGCTCGTGACTGACAAGCGGGCCACCTATGAGTTGGCCTACCGAGCAGCCAAGAGCCTTTGTGAGAGCGCCAGATTCTTCCTCAGTGTGCAGGCCTTCAACACGAAGTCCATGATCAAGGAGCCCGACCACTCTGCCATGCTGACGGGTACCTTTGTCTGCCCCTCTCTTCGCGGTTCTCCTTTTATGGTCCAGAGAGGTGACTTCAATCTCTTCATTCTCGACCAGAAGGCACCGGGAACTCGGAACATGACGTACGACTTTGACCTCCGGGGCATCCACGGCGAGAAGTACCATTTCCATGGATACAAGGTCGTCGATTCCTCCGTCGCCCTGGCCCCCTGGCAGTTCTGGAAGGCCACGAGCACACTCTATGTCACCATCACCGAGCACAGTCGCGACCTGGAGGCCGTCCACGACTGTGACGAGCCGTGGCGCCGCGGAAAGGTCGTTGCCAAGGGCATCATGCACATCCAGTTCGCCGACTTTGTCTCTCAGATCATGACCATGACCCCAACGGGAAGCAGTCTCATAAAGAAGGCCTACAGCGCGGCGAGCTTCCTCACCTACTTTACTCGCAAGTCGCTCTCCCTTTTCCTGGCGCCCTTCACTCCTATCCAATACCCCAGCGTCACCTACAACGGTTACGTCAACGACACTCCTCCCAAGGCATCCTTCGTCATCGTCGCACGAGACGGCGTCAAGACGCGCATGCACATGTGGGAGCCGACCAACCCGAGCATTGAGACCAAGAACCTCTTCATGATCCCGGGTGCCGCAGTCGATCACCAGATCTACGCTCTGCCCACGATCAAGTACAATGCGGTCAACTACTTCACCCGCGCCGGCTACCGCGTCTTCATCGCCGTCCACCGCATCGGCCAACTCATGGTCGCCCAGAACAACTGGACGACCTACGATGCCCGCCTGGACCTGCGGGCCTGCATCGAGTACATTCGTGAAAAGTACGCCGACGGCAACTCCCAGGAGAACAAGGTGTACTGCATCGCCCACTGCATGGGCAGCGTCGCCTTCTCCACCGGTCTCCTGGACGGCACCATCCCCTCCAACTGGGTCCACGGCATCACCTGCAGCCAGGTCTTCATGAACCCGATCTGGGCGACCCTCAACATGGCAAAGGTCAAGGTCGGCCCCATCCCCATGGACAAGCTCTACAAAATGGTCCTCGGCAACTGGTTCTCCTGCAGCACGGCCAAGGACGACAGCTTCCTCCAGCGCGCCCTCAACGAGGCCCTCAGACTCTACCCCGAAGAGCGCAAGGAGATCTGCAACAACGCCAGCTGCCACCGCTGCACCCTCGTTTTCGGCCGCTGCTGGAACCACAACAACCTCAACGAGGCGACGCACCGCCAAATCGACCGATTCTTCGGCGGCGTCAACATGACGCAGCTCCAGCTCCTCATGAAGCAAGGCTCCGAGGGCCACGTCATGACAAACGGCCCGCTCTTCCGCCCGCTCACGACGCCCGACAATATTCGTCGCCTCCGCGGCGTCCCCGTCATGCTCTTCGTCGGCCGGGACAACGCCGTGCTCACCCCCGAGGCGACGGAGCGCACGTACGAGATCCTCTGCGACACTTTTGGCTCGCATGGCGGAGACGGCCCGAACGGTGGACTCCAGTACCGCCGTCGCGTCGTCCCTGGGTACGGGCACCTCGACTGCTGGATGGGACGCAACGCGTGGAAGGACGTGTACCCGTTTGTCAGGGAGGAGGTCGATCGCGTTGTCCGCGGCGAAGAGTACCACTTTGTCGACCCTGATGATAAGTTCTCTCGCATGGTGGACAGCGGTGAGCTGCTCTACTAAGAGTGAAGAGTTTCATCATTGTAGCATCATCACGTTGTTATTCGCGGTCGTGTATTTCTGGGGGTTCGGGATTTATCTCTCATCAGAGAGTCGGAAAATTGTGTCGATACCCCAACATTCCTTCTTCAAAATGTAATGAGAGCGTGGGAATAATCTTCTTGGAGAATTCAATGCGTCGGGAAGCAAATTGGATTTAGACAGGGAAAAAAATAAGGGGGAAATTTTACACTCACTGTGGTGGATAGGAGTTTGGGTTGGATCATGTCATTTTCTTCAGAAAGAAGCAGCAGTGCAGGCTCGCATCTGCATCATTCATTCCACAAGAGGTACTACAAGGTTACCAAAGGTAGATGCCAAATAATCAAACCTATCAGCATCAGAAAAACAGAAGCCACAGATACTTGTACAGAAACGCCAGTGACCTTTGCCGATTTCCCAGTTTCATACACACATCAAGTCCACCCGTCCGTTAGTCTTGACCCGCACATCATCAAGTCCAACATGATACAGACAGGAGGGGGTTCTGCCTCCCTCGGGAGACAAAACCAAAGCAAAACGTACTTGTACAGAGAGCATGCCTTTTCTCATGAACCCCCATCTCGCGACATCTCGCGCAGGGACGTGACGTAGTTTGCTTCCAGCGCATCCCAGTCAACCACTCCGGCCTCCCTCTCAACCATCTGCGGCGGCGCCCACGCTTCATCAAAGACCAACCGGACATCGTCGCGGTAAATGAAGCTCTGACGGTGCCATTCATCTTCACTAGACGCCTCGATCCTGCCTAACGCCACGTCGAGCTGCTCCACGACCGCGCCTGACCCGTCGTCTTCCCACGCGATCCAGGCCATCGTCTTGCCGCCCTCAACGTCAATCTTGAGCGAGGCAGAGCCCCACTCGAACGTCCCGCTGGTGAACCCCGGGGCGGTAATCTCAACGATCTGACCTCTCCGCCGCTTCTGCTGATTCGTTGCCGCGGAGGATGTCGACGTGACAACACGGGTAAGCTTGACTTCAAAGACGCCCTGGGCTGTCGCGAACCCTCCTCTCGCGAAGCTGAGCCACTTTGTAAGGTGCGGGCGGACGGTCCACTCTGCGCCGGCAGGGGCAAGGAGCTGGATCCCCAGGATCTCCGAGGTAAGGGCGCTCGTGGGACCTGAGGACCAGCCGTGACAGTGGGAGTTGCGGGCTGCGGACCGGTAGGCCGGGTACTGTAGGCCGCCGTCGACCATGAAGCCCTCAACCAGCGTGCTGTTCGTGAAGCCCGGCCCGTCGAGGAGGTAGGACCACTCGAGGAGCATCAGCTCGACGGCGGAGTCGTGCTCGTCAGCCGCAGCGTGGGCGAGGAGCTCAAAGGAGGAGACAAAAGGCGAGATGACGTTGGGGAATTCAACCGCGGGAGCGCCGTACTTGCCCCAGCGGGATCGAAGTCTCTCGGAGACGACCGCACGTCGGGAGCGCGGCGTAGCACCGGAGATGAGGGCCCAGCTGTTGCCGTCTTGGGGGTCGGTGTGCTCGGGGCCGCGACAGCTGCGCCGGCCGATATTGTCCGAGTACAGACCGGTGTCTCCGCAGTAGAGTTGCTGAATGCCGGCGTTGAGAGCGCGGCGCACGCCCGACCAAACCCCTCGCGGACGTGCCGCGGGGCTGTCGTCGTGGAGCCACTCTGCTAGCTTGATGCTCTTTTCCAAAACGGCGCTCAGGATCGCGCTGGCTTCGAGGTTGTGGCCTGTCATCCCTGGGCGCAGCCAGTCTGCGGCGCTGGTGACGTGGAGGAGGCCGGTGTGGTCCACCTTATCGATGCTAACGTTGAGAGCCTTGACATAGGCCGGCCATCGTTCTGCCAGCCAATCTAAGTCTCCAGAGTACTTGACGTAGTTGTAGGCGCCCAGCAGAGTGTGCAAGTGATATGTATCACTGAACTCGCCGTGGAGGCCCAATGGCGGGCCGGCCCATGGCAATGATCCATCCGCGTACTGATGATCGAAAAGTACGTTGAGGGCATTGCGGACAGCTACCATGTCATATGTGCTGACGGCGATACCAGGTACCGCAATAAACATGTCGCCGGGCCAAACGACGCGATCACGCTTTGCGCCATCGGTCGTGACAGCCGTGCCGTTTGCGATAGTGAAGTTGGAGTACCAAGAACCCGTCGGCGACTCGTTATGGTCCCAGTCGCGGTTGTAGTCGATGATGGCCGAGCCTTCTCGAGGGTCGATTGTCGAGAGCTGGAGAGTGTATGCGCCGGCGTACCAGATGCGATTGAGCATGTCGCTCGAGCTGTGGAAGTAGCCCGAATACGCACGACCGTTGGACTGCGAGGGAAAGGCGGTGCAGTTTACCCAGAGGCCCTTAAGCGTAACCCAAGGCTTCTTGTACGGGTCTCTGTCGGCAGCTCCTTCGAGTGGTACTTGTTTCTCGTCCTCTTCTAATACTGCCTGACCTTGAGGCCGGGGTACCTCCACGAAGCGATCGTCTGTCAGAACAGGGTATTCCGGCATCGTCAACGTGAGGTACTTGAAGCCGCCGCGAATAAAGTCCTTGCCAACGCAGACTGTGCCGGTCCTGTCGTCAAATTCAAAGTGTAATGGCAGGTCTCGGTCTAACTTCTCGGTCGTGGTGTCCGGCTGCGGTCCGGCATATAATGAGGACTCGGAGTACGCTAGGGAGATCTCGGGGTCATTTCCGGTGGACGATACATCGAAGCATACACTGTCAAGCAGCCATGATTAGCCAGGGACGACGCGCTCTAAAGGGCAGCGGGCACATAATCGTACCGTCCAGCAATGTTCTCCTCAAATTCCAGCGTCAACATCCCGCCAGGCCCAATAGTGATGCCGTGGTGGAACGTACGTCCCGCTTCGACGCCGACCTCTACGGCCTCCAGACCCGACGTCGTGATGTTCCCTTCCACGTCCCATATGCGATGCGGAACGATATAGGTCTTGTCTGCTGGTGCTTTTATATATCTTTCCCAAGGTCCCCTAAAGACCGGCGTGTCAGGGAGACTATTCGGATCGATGAACGGAGGCTGCAGTGCCGCCAGGATCATGCGCGGCGCCATCATCGAGACAAGGGATGCCCATTTCGCGGGCGGTGTTGTGGACTTCATCTTTCCGGCTCAGTTGGGGCACGATAGGCGTTACAATAGATAGCGGGAAAACGAAGTCGACAAAGTTCAAGAGTATAGCCAACAAGTCGAAGCCATGTGGAACACAACGTCTCGGGGGGTAACTTGCAACACCGGCGTTATTGTGCAGACGTAGAAAGTCCGGAGGCTGCAAGGGTTTTTGGGAGCAAAAAGCCGGACGCCCTGTTGAGAGGGAGAGGAATTGACGCACGCACGAGCTTTGGGTTGTTGCTTTGTTGCGAACAGAGTCCGTTGCAGGTTTTGGGGACCACCACGGGGTCGTTGCACCTGCCCTGCGTGCGTGCCGAGCTAGCTACCTACCCCGCGTCCCACCCCCGGCCCCGCAGCCCCCGGCCGCCGATCGCCGCGAACTCTATGCACCTATCCATTCCGGGCAGGCGCAGCCCTCTCCACACTATCCGTACCTTCATCCACATGCCGTTGAAGGTTTAATGCCCGTTGACAGCCGCATCTCACTCGGAAAGGTTTGATCTCAACGAGGACTATGATTCCTGAGAGCAAGGCAGAGGAAACGTATTGAATGACTAAGTAACCTCACCTATACTGAACCACCTGCTGGAAGTGGGGTTGCAGCAGAAAATTGTCCAGTTTCAGACCACACCAAACCCGAGACGTTCGTAATCCACCGTATTTCAGACAACTACCTTGTCTCGTCGCGGCAAATGAAGAGTTTTCAATACGGGCACTTACGATATAACATCAAGTCTGAGTAATAAACTACGCGGCCAGCCATTGTGCGCGGCCTTGCTTCGGCCGCGTCTCTTGCTTGGAATGAACATCCCACCTCATCCACATCGGCTCTGCTTTGAGTACATACTCAAAATAAAAAATGTGGGACGCAATGACGTGTGATGTGTTGCGTTGCTCACTCTATTTTTTGCCTCTCCATATTTGCGCCGGCATAATAATCCACAAAAAAGTATGGCATACCACCCGTTCTATCATGCGTCTAGTCCGTCCAGCTCTAACAGCTTCGCAACCAGCTTGATCACTTCGTTGTCTGCGAGATCTAGTCCAGGGTTCTCAATCTTCATCGCAATCACGTCATCGACCATGCCCCTGAGTCTCGACACCAAAACTCCCAACCGCGCCCAGCCTCGAAGGCGCACCCATTCGTCGACCACCAGTCCTCTTCCCAGTGTATCCAGACTGATGGCACCAGAGAACAACAGCAAAGTGTAGGCGTTGAAAGCTATTTGAGAATCAGCAAACTTATCTTCGCCTTGATATTTTCAATGGAAACTTACGTGTGAGGTCTCGGATGAATGTCTTGCTGGTGGAAATCATAGTAAAGTACGACATGAACGAGGCGTTACCAGTGAACCCTTGACTGCCGAAAAGCGTACTGCTGGGATGCACAAACACTCGGCCCTGCTCTTGAGCAAAGTACTTGATCAGCCGCGCCTCCGGATCCAACTCCTTCGCACCGGAAACCGTGCTAGTAAACTTCTTGTCGGGATACTGGATCCGCGCAATCTGCGGGTTGAACGCCGAGGCCGTAATCGCACGTAAAAGAGTCATGCCGGATTTGCTCTGGCTCTGAGCGGCGCCGGACTTGCTCGTCTCGACGATACCAATCTCAGCGAGGGCAGAATAGTACTGCATTCGCGTTGCCGATATGTCATTCAGCGTAAGCCACGAGAGAAAGTTGTCGTCGCAAAAGTTGCGAAGTTGCCGCTGTCCTACCCCATCGCCGCGCATCTCGTCCCACTGCTTGAACGCCTCAAGATCGGTAAGCAGGTCGCCGTCTCCGTTCGAAAACTTCATGCGCGCGTCCTTGGCCTGGTCGCGCTTATCCGGAGGCGACATGAATGGACTGCGGGTGCTGAGAATGGCGGCAATCGTGACC